GGTTGAGAGCCACCCATTGCAGACTTGCAGCCTTCCACATGCTCCCCAGGTCTCCCAGTGTCTGCGTGTTGCTGAGAAATGATGGGAGGGATGCGGTACAAGGTTGACATACGAGCTGAAAGGGATTTTCTGGTTCTGATAGAATTGCTTTCGACTTTCATTTTACAACATAATTTTACTCAGAGTACTTGGCCAATCAACGCATCTAGGTCAGTGCCATCTATTATGGTATCACCATCTCTTGATTTGTTTTCAGAACTTCCTATTTATGTGAGGGAGAGTAGATGATGAAAAGAAGTATTAGGAGAAATATATAAAGTGTGGAGAATATGAAGGAGATGTCCAAGAATAGACACCCTGATGACCAGAACTGCATCATTACAATGGCAAATGGCGCAGACACACGGGCAATAATGGGGACCAAGGGCACCGGGCTTGCCTGTGTGTAGTCTGTGTCTGTGTGTGTCTGTGGGTGTGCAAATGACTTGCAGCACTCTATTTCTGGAGCATGATTCTAAGGAGAGCACGGGAGGCATGTGTTCCTGGAACAACATCAAGCTTACAGGCCACCTTCCCTTTCCCCACCTGGGCGCCAATAGCGACATATATGTGCGGGAGGTGCTTCCACATGCCTCTTCCCATCTGCTCCCCCGGCTTTGAACAGAATGGAGGTGCTGAGAGGCACGGCAAAGCCAGAGCCACCGCTGTCAGTTGGCCCACGGACACCCGCCCTCGTGGTGCTTGGCACAACCCGGGTCGTCGGCACTATGACGAGAGCAGCAGTCTGGGCCCGTTCACCCCAGGAGTCGCACATGCACTGAAGGGCTATGTTTTTTCCTCGGGCTCTCTCCTGAGTAAAGCAAAGGGGCCATGAAAAAAGAGAGACAGTTGAGAACCCAGAAACCGGAATACAGGTTCTCTCTAGCCGGCATTAGGCCCCGGGTTTAACCCCCATTTCTGAGCCGGGGAAGGGCCTCACCTGTGGGTGATTGCCTGCCTTCCTTTTCCGGGTCTCTCCTGGCGCCGTTCTGCCATCTGTCACACAGAGTATTCTGGGAGAGGCCTTCCTATTCCTGTAACCTGCAGAGGGGTGACAGATGAACGTGGGGGAAGAGAAAACCCAGGGCCCCCTGTCTCAGCGGGCTCGTGTGACTTCAAGTAACGCAGGGCTCCCTCCTGGCACATGAGCTTTGGGAAAGGGTGTGACCCCTGGGTCAGGGGCTGTATCCTCCCTGCTGTGCTGCTGTTTCTCGTGTCTTTCTTCCCTTGTATCCATTTTTTGGTAAAAGCAGAGCATCCTACTCCTAGGGAAAGAAGAAAATTAGAAGTAGGGGTGGGGGACAATCTGATTACAAAAGAGCAGCACAAGGGAATTCTAGGGGTGAGAGACCTGTTCTACATCTGGCTGCGATGGTTAGGTAACTCGATGCATTTACCAGAATTCATGGAGCTCTACCCCAAAGTAACACCTGCTATTTACAAAGTGTACAGTGCATTTATAAAGCTTCCTGACTTGACACTAGCCTGGGTAGCTCCCTTTATGAAAGAGATAATCACATCAATTCAAAGGACAAGAAAATACATATTTAAATTGACCGAACTGCCTGATCCCATCCAACAGGGCATCCCCAGTCTCAGGTGGTTACAGAGCACTTGAAATGAATAACCACACCAAGACAGGCTTTAGGCGCAAAGTACACGACACATGAGACCTCAAAGACTTCGTACAAAAGAAGTAAAATAGGTCATAAATATTTGTATAACTTGATTACATGTCGAGATGGTAAAATTTTGGATACAGATAATTAAATTAAATATACTATTAAAATTTATTTCATTAGTTTATTTTAACTGTTTTTTAGAGCAACTAAGAAATTTAAAATTACATCCGTGGCATGCATGTGTGTTTGCATTGGAGAGTATTGGCAGTCACTGTGCACTAGACGTAGGCAGGAGCGTCCTGGAATTAGCAGTTCATCTGGATACTCCCTTGCTGGCTGCCCCCTCTCCACCCGAATTCCATTCTCATTGCCCAGAGCTTAGTTCTTAGCCACCAGCTATTTCTTCTCTAGGTTCTGTTTCTTACTGAGACTTAAGCATCAAACAACTCTTAAATTGATATCTCCAATCCAGCCTCTATCTAACCCAGTGGCTCTCCAGCCAGGGATGATGTCATCCCTGAGGGGACAACATTTGGCAATGTCTGGAGACACTTTTAGTTGTCACAACTTGGGCAGTGAAGATACTACTAACATCCAGTCTGTAGAGACCAGAGATGATGCTGAACACCTTACAGGGCCCAGGACAGCTCTCCCAACAAAGAACTATCCAGCACAAAATGTTAATACCGCTGAGGCTGAGATACCCTGATGAACATTTGTCAGTCTGCTCATTGATATATCAAATGTTATTGATGACCTACCTGTGCAGTGCACAATGCTGAAGTGTGTTGTAGAAAATCAAGTAGTACTTTACCTACAAAGTAGACGTAGATCCTGCATTCACCATATTTGCAAAGATAAAGCATTTGTTTGAAGGGAACAGGTAGATAATCAATAATGTCATAATAGGTACTGTCATAAGAAGAGACAGCAGTAAGTAGAAGTACAAGTATGGACGATTTCTCAACCACACCCTTTGTTTGCAAAAGCTGACGTGATATTCCTACCTGGACATCAACATGGTGAAAACTTAACTCATCAACATTCCCTACAGCAAACTCCTTTCTAAGCATGGTGCTGTTATTTTAACCCCTCGGTCAGGAGGTTGGGAGATACCTTTGACTATCTCCCCTGGCTTTTCCATCTCTTACCGAGATTTTTAAAGATTCTAATTTAGTCACACAAATAATTTTCCTTATTTTTCTCATTTTCCAACTGTGGGCAAACAATTTTAGGAGCATATAAGTGCATTAAAAAGTATAAATGTACAATATAGTCCAATCATGTAAGCTGGTTGGTGGAGGAGGCGTGTGATCTCTTGAAATGCTGAAAAAAGATGACCATTACACAGGCTGTGCATAATGGCGAGTAAACGATAGAGATAAATGTTATCAGAATACTGAGGAAAATATGTCTAATCTAGGCTTTTCATTGCTCAGTTATTAACATAGTATCCTCTACTCTCTGCTCTAAACCCCTAATGTAATTTTTTATTTAATTTTCCTAACACATGTCTCATGTTGTGACCTACCTCCTGCTCCAATCCGGAGTAATGATTTCTTCTTCCTTCGGTATTAATTGCTCAGCTCCTCTCCCCACCTCCAAAGGCATTCGAACGTGTGACCCAGCTCAGTCTTTATTTCTTCCTCCCCACTATGCAGACACCACACCGGCCCAACGCCCGTTCCCAAGCGCCCGCCACCACGACTTTTGGGGGCCGTCTTCTTCCATTCCTTTGTCAGCATCAGCTCAGGCCTTCTCTCCGGGTCCATCTCACTCTTCTTCTTGACGCTTTCCTTGCCCCCCTGGGGCCCACTCTTTCCTTCCTTTTAATTCCTTTCACTCAGAATAGACACCATCCAACACTGAACATGCTTGGTCTCTGGAAACTGCGTTCCTAATCCACACTGTCCGACACGAAATGTTCTCACTCTCACAGAAGAAAGAAGCCACGTTGAAGTGTCTTGTCAATCCCTGAATTCACCTAGAACAGTCCGTAGCAGATACCCAGTGCCTAGGCCCTACTCAAAAAACGGAGTTATCGATGTGCCTTTGGAGAAATATTTCTGTGCATGTGACTGATTCTCTTATGCAGGCAGACCAAATACACCTTCCATATAAATGTTGCATTTCAAACCAATAGACTTGAAGACTGCACATGGATTCTAATTCTCAGACTTTTCTGGTACTCCATTTTAAGGATTTCTTTGAGAGCTTGTGGCACATTCCTTTAATATATTTGAGGAGTATCAGCGTTAATTCTGTGCAGATGAACTTGGCTTTTTAAGTGGCACTTAAAGCCATGTCAGAGGGTTACGTTGAGTGAAGCTGGGTCGTAGCACAATGGTCTAACAAGGAGGTGTGTGCAGAAGCCAGAGACTCGCGTTTCCCGTCGATGCTGAAGTGTGTCCACAGGTAGCGATAAGCGAACTCTAGAGTTCTGGTTCTCAGTGGGACTCACTGGCGTCACTGGCAAAGACAAGGCTTGTATGGCAACCCTTGTCCACCCCGTGTGCCGCTTTGTGCTAGTCTTTACACCAACTTCCCTTCACCGATAAAGGACACACTTTGGAGAGAAAAATGGGACTCACAACCTCCAAGAGCCCTGCCACCTCCAGGGCAGCCAGCGCACCCACTGACTCGGTGGCGGTGGATGGCTGCAGCCCTGTTCAGGTTTCCGTGGACAAGTTTTAAGGTGCAGCGACCTCTCAGCCTCTCAGTGAAGCTAAAAGACAGTAGTAGATGGCAATCAAGCAAGACTTCAGAAGGAGGCTAACTGCTGCCATAAAAGGGGAGCTACATTTGCTGGAAAAAAATGAGACTGGATCAGTCACTCAGTCAATGTGTGTGTGTGTGTGTGTGTGTGTGTGTGTGTGTGTGTGTGGGAGGATAGGGCAGAAAGACTCACAGATATGGGCCAGATAAAGTGAATACGATAATGCCAGCATTTAGACTTATCACTACGTAGATTCAGCACCCACCCATCATTGGACGTCGCAGTTGGCTGCTTTGGTATATAATCACAAATTGAATTTTAGGTGTCCCCTTGGCATCCCAGCCTTTTTGGGGCACTGCCCTATCTTATGGGGCATAGGTGTCAGGCAGAGGGGAGAAAGAGAAGGCACCATTGTGGGACTAGGCACCCGCCACAACTTAGACCGAAAGGTTCAGCGCCAAGGAGCCTGAGGGCCAGGACACCCACCAAGGCTCTTGGTCAAGCTGCACGGGTTCCCGCCTGACGAACCACTGGTGCTTCCACCAACAAGCAACTGGTGCTGAAGAGGTTGTTCTTGAGTCACACAACGGGACGCCTCTGTCCCTTTCTGGGGTGATCAGAAGATGAAGCTTCCTGGCCAGGAGGGCAAAACCGCTGCAGTTGTAGGGACTGTAACTGAAGACGCGCATGCCCAGGAGGTGCCCACACTGAAGGTGTGTACGCTTCGTGTGAGCAGCCCCGCAGGGAGCTGCCTCCTCAAGGCTGGGGCCAAGATCCTCACTTTGGACCAGCTGGCCCTGGACTCCCCCAAGGGCAATGACACCGTCTTACTCTCTGGCCCTTACAAGGGTCCAGAGGTGGTCAGGCATTTCAGCAAGGCCCCAGGAACCCCTCACCAGTGCACCAAGCCCTGTGTGGGATCCAAGGGCTGGAAATTTGAGCATACGAGAGGCCATCTGGCCAGCCCTGGCTACATGAAATAACTCCAGATGCGACCTTGTCGTTAAAAGTATTTGGGATGCTGAAAAAAAAGCAGAGGGAAGAAAGTGCTTTACTGTGTAGATGTTTCTTATCACACATTATGTATTTTAATCCGCACAGCAACCATATGAGGTAAATACAGTTGTCTTCATTTCCACGAACGGGGGGAGTAATCCTGGAGACTTTCCGGATCTTGATAGAGGGCGGGCATATAGCAAGGTTTCGAGTGGAATGGAAAATAGTGAGGAGCCAGGCCAGGCACCCAAGCCTCCTAGAAGATTCTGAATCCAAATGGGTGCATCTCCCGGACAAGGCTGGCTGATGTACTCTCGGCAGAGGGATACATTTCTGCTGAGTCACCTTCCAAACGAAGAGTTGCCATGGTGGACTGCCAGGTCCGCAGACTCCTGTCAACCTGTCGAACATTATCAGTGTGTCTTGTGACCTTCCATGTTTCCTAAGCTCTAAACAAGAGAGAACAATGCAGTCACTTCTTGATACTCGGCTGCTTTTCTCTGCTTTGTCATGCTGGTTAGGCACCTTGTGATGTGAGAGGCCACACTGGCTGAGTGCATGAAAATAGGCTTTTTTTTTTCCTCTACAATTTATGAAGCATTTTCACACATAACATCTAATTTTATTTTGCCTTTGCAAGATAGACCACACTGAGGCCAAATGTTTCCACAGTAGTGGTTAATCGAGGTTATTTCTTTTCAGTCAATCATTATCTCTTCATTAAAGCAGTGATTTTCAACTGGTGTGCAGCAAAAATTTTTAAAAGATACAATACCTGACTATTTAGTCAGGGACACTCACCTCTTTTCCCTTAGATTGTCAAATGAAAAATGACAACAGCCAACACAACAATAGCCGTCTGGTGTGTATGCCCTGTCTTGAACCATAAATATATAGGCCACATAAAATACTTATGTCTTATTGGTCATGTTGCATAATAAGTTTGCATCTGACTGGTTAATTTTTGATACCAGAAATCCTACTATATAACTATAGGCACCTGATTTTTTAAAAAGTCACTTTGGGGCAAAAACCATACGTAATTACTATAACCATTATTACCATTACTATTATTTTGTAAATCACTCAAAATCCTACCTATTTGTCACATCGACAAACCATGTATTTTTTGGTATGCCGCAGAATTATAGTAAGTAGTTCACGTGTGTCACGAGATGAAAAAGGTCAAAAATCGCTGCTCTCAAGGACAGGCATAGAAGAGAAATGCCTTTAATAACCTACAGGTAGGGCATGCAAGGGAGTCCAGTACAGCTGCCCTAAACCAGCGCTTCCCTATCCGCTTCAGATCACCTGGGCGTGCCTGTTAGATACGCTGGGCTCCCATCCTGGGTTTACTAACCTGAACTGAGTTCTGAAAGCAAAGCCTGGAGATCTGCCTTGTTTTCAGAAGGTGCCTGGGGACTCCTTATATCATATAATGTGTTTCGTTATGATTTCCCAGCCAGAGCCTGAGGGTGGAGCCGCTGAGCGAAACAGTGCCTTGCTGCCCTTCCGGCACGGATTTCCCTGATCTGCGGCTTCGCCTCACTGGGACTCGGGTGACTACCCCTCCAGGCCCCCTGAGAGAGTTAATGAAAATAAAAGAGTTGATTTGGGGCCACTTACAGTGCAGCTGTATTTAGGAAGCTACCGTGATCTCTGCTTAAGTTCCCTCTTAGCCTGGGAACTGACTTTCACACGGGCTTGCGGGTATTTTCAACTAGAATTGTTTTCATTCATTCTCCAAAATGAACACAACTAGATTCTTCAGGAAACCAAAGTGTTTAAATTTTGAAGGAGAAAGTGAAATTCTCATCACTGTGGTTTTGCCACGCACCCCATCTTTGCAGAAGGTGGCATCAGTGACGGAACATGAGACACATTTAGCTCTGTGACTCGGGGAGAGTTAATGCAGCTAAATGTGGTCACCAAACCAAGGCAACGTGGGAGGTCCCATAGGGGAAGTATTCTCAAGTGGAGCATTCTATTAGGTAAATAAGGAGATATTTTGACTGCTGAGAAGCATAAATGGCCTGGACCCACTTGGCAACGACAACAAGGAGCAAGATGGCTGTTGCCTGGGAAGCAGCCGTACATTGTGCTGCTCGAAGACTTCACTTTTCACAGCAAAGAAAACGACGGGGGTACCAATCGGCTTTGTCTTCACTTTGTCTCCACCAGAGGATTCTCGACCTCGGCCCTCCTGGCATTTGGGGCTGGAATATTCTTTGTTGCGAGAAGCTGGTCTGTGCATTGCAGGATGTGTAGCAACACCCCACGCCTCCACCCACTGAACGCCGGTAGCACCCCGTCGTCCGTAGTTGGGACCCTGAAATTGTCTCCAGACTCCGCAGAGTGTCCCCTGGGGAGCAAAATCGTGTTCACTTGAGAACCGTTAATCTCCACGCACTAATTTCTTTAATTCTAACTTCTGTAATAATAAAAATTTTAATTGAAGGAATTCCTTAAGATGTGCTTAAAATGACTAAAAATAAATGCATCTAAATACTTTAAAAACACTAAACAAACTGTATGAAGATCAAAGATGTAGGAGAATAAAGCACTGTAGTTTTGTATATAGTGGGAGTTGCATTACGTGATGGTGTGATTTTATATCAGTGGTGAGGGAAGGCTCGCATTGTGAAGATGCAGAACAGGGTTACTATGAGCATCCCAGACTTCCTGCCTCTAAAGCAATGTGATCACCTTTCTTTTTTTTTTTAATTTTTTTATTGATTATGCTGTTACAGTTGTTCTATTCCCCCCTTCATTCCCCTCTACCCTACCCCCCCCGTCCCCACCATTACCCCTCTTTAGTTTATGACCATGTGTCTCAAGTCCTTTAGATTCTATATTTCCTATGCTATTCTTGCCCCCCCATCTATTTTCTATCTGCTGTCTATGCTACTTATTTTCTGTACCTTCTCCCCCCTTATCCTCCCACTCCCCTGTTGCTAACCCTCCTTGAGATCTTCATTTCTATGTTTCCACTCCTGATCTAGCTGTCCTCTTAGTTTGCTTTTGTTTTAGGTGTGGTTCTTAATAACTGTGAGTTTGTTGTCCTTTCACTGTTCATGTTTCTTTAACTTCTTTTTCTTAGATAAGTCCCTTTAACATTTCATATAATAAGGGCTTGGTGATGATGAACTCCTTGAATTTGATCTTATCTGAGAAGCACTTTATCTGCCCTTCCATTCTAAATGAAAGTTTTGCTGGATAGAGCAATCTTGGTTGTAGGTCTTTGGATTTCATGATTTGGAATACCTCTTTCCATCCCCTTCTTGCCTGTAAGGTCTCTTTTGAGAAATCCGCTGACATTCTGATGGGGACTCCTTTGTAGGTGACAGTCCCCTTAGCTCTTGCTGCTTCTAGGATTCTCTCCTTCATTTTAATTTTGGCTAATGTAATTATGATGTGCCTTGGTGTGTTCCTTCTTGGGTCCCAGTTCTTTGGGACTCTCTGAGCTTCCTGGATTTCTTGGAAGTCTATTTCCTTTGCCACCTTTCAATATCCAAAACAGACTCTGTATAATCAGAAGAATGGAAAGGACTGTTGGAAGAACGTGCATTCTCCCCGTTTTAAATGCATTCACTTGTCATGTGAATATATAGCTCTCAGAAAGCATTTTGAGGCATCCTGAACTTAACCTCTAGGTATGTCAACATGTCTGTGCCTGGGGGACCTCCTTGTCTGTTCCCACTCCATCCCCCAAGTCAGTGAGTGCAATGAGGGACTTCACTCCTTGTCGTGTCTCATGCCCTCTCAGTTAAGTAAACCTGACATGTCCCTACATCCCAAAGCCTCAGGCAGTGGCCAGAGAAATGACGTTCAGGAAGACTAAAGAGGTCTTGGTACGGATTCCAGGGTGAGGGGCGGGAAAGTGGCCCCTCAGGAATGGAAGTGTGCAAGTACCAAGGCCTCTCACTAGAAAACCCTCCTGAGGAATATCCCGCACAACATTTTTTCCATACAATTAATAAATGCTCACCTAAGACCTCCAGTAATTTAAAAAAAAGTTAAGGAGAAAATCCAAATTATTTTGCTTTTCTGTTTAGTATTATCATCTAAGTGGTATAATTCTTTAGGTTTGCCTAATTTTGTTTGACTGTATATAAATGGAATCAAATTGCATATATATATATGTGTGTGTGTGTGTGTGTTTTTACAATTTGGTATGTTAAGTCAACACTAAGTTTCAAGATTCATCTATGTTTGTAAGTGTAATTCATTTTTATTGCTGTTTAATGCTCTACTGTAAGAACATGTTACACTTACTGATTCATTCCACTGTTGCCTGCGCCTGTTTCCAGTGCCACCTAATATAGATAAGGCGCCGCTAGCCGTCTTTACGTGTCCCTTGATGTGTCCGAGAGAGTTTCTTACCTCTCATGTGGGAGGCGGGAACCCTGAATTTTAGGAGATGTGCATCTCCAAATGTCTAAATTAAGCCAAATCCTTGCCCAGGCTGTTTGAAGTTATCTTAATTTTATTTGCTAACTCTGTTGCTAGTGTGTAGAAATCTCTTTGCTTTTCATATTTGTATATGGCTTATTAATATAATGTGTTATAGCATTTGGTTTTCTTCAACCATTATGATATTTTTGTAGCAAATAGTTATTTTACTACATTTAAAATTTTAATTTACTAGTATTTTTGGTGGGACTTTTATAGAAATGTTTGATCTATTTAATTTTGGTCAATAGTTATGTTTGTGTGAGAAAGACAGGAGGGGAAAGGAACAGAGGGAGGGAAGGATGGGGAATTTGAGAGGGAGAGATGTCTCAAGAGTTTTTAAAAGATTTTCCTAGCTTCATAAAATGAACTGGGTAGTATTTTCTTTCTCCAAGAGACATTTATGAAAAATAGGAATTGCATCACTAAGGATTTGAGAGAATTTACCTAAAAATATTTAGGCCCAAACTGTTTTGGAAGGGAAGTCTTTGATAACATTCTAAAGAACTTCTGGGTAATTGCATTGTTTCAGTTG